GCTGTCACCTTGGGTTAACAGGTGGATCCCTGTGAGGTGCTCCAGTGTGGCTGGCTTTCCAGGTGGGTCATAGCTGTGTGCAGAGCAAGAGTCCCTGGGCTCTGAGCGGACACTCTGGGAAGCGCAGTGGCTAGGCATCCTTGAGAGGTCCCTGGCTGCTTCTGCCCTGCGGGCCTCCTTGAGCATCTGAAGCCTCCCTGGGCCTGCGTTCTGCACGGAGGAGGAGGCTGTGTGATTTGCTGGGGTGGGAGAGAAGCAGGCAACATGGGTATGGAAGCAGAGAGCCAGGTTTTGACAGCTCTGCCCTCCATCAGCCCCTGAGAAAGATGGGCCTCCTGGGCCTGGGTGGGCCTCGAGACCTGTGCAGGGCGGCGCGCTCATGGAGATGCGCCAGGAAAGGGCTCTGAGCTGCCGCAGGGCAGGCACTGGTGTGTGCTGTTGTTTGGTGCTCTGTGGAGAGTCTGTCCCCCACCACGGAGGCCCTTGCAGTGTTTGGGGTACGGGCCCACCGTCTGCCTGAAGACCACCTCCTCGAGAGGCCCCATGACTCTTCCCTGCTGTGGCGACTTTCTGTGGTCCAGCTTTCCCCTACTGTAGTCCCTCACCTGGTGACCGAGGTCTCCCACTGACCTCCACCTGGCTATGTTCCCTGAGGTGGATCGTGGCCATTCACTCACCCCTGACTCCAGCCAGTGCCACGTGGGGCCTGGAGCCCAGAGGTGCTCAATAGGTGAGCATGTGAATGGGACGTGGCAGGGGAGGCACAGGCCTGGAGACTACTCTCAGGCTGCTTAGGGGAAGAGGCACTGGCCTCATCTCAAGTGTGCAGGGGTGTGTCTGGGCAGAGAGACGATGGTGCCTGCATGGGTGACTCCTGCCACCCCTTCCTCCCTGGTTCTCCTATTAAGAAGCAGTGAGCCAAGCTGAAAAGCCCAGATTTGGTTTGTAGTCCATAGGGAGCCATAGAAGGTGTGTGAGCAGTGGTAGAGCCAAGGCTGCATCTGTTTATTTATTTATTAGTTGTAGTTGGGCACAATACCTTTATTTTATTTATTTATTTTTATGTGGTGCTGAGGATCGAACTCAGGGCCCCACACGTGCTAGGCGAGCGCTCCACCGCTGAGCCCCAGCCCCAGCCCCAAGGGCCGTCATTCTACCTGCAGCCCTGGTCTAGGCTTCGCGACGCGTGTGGGTGGCTGCCGGGTGGGTTGGCAGATGATATGGCCCCTGGTTCCCTATCTAGTATGGGTTGGAAGTGGCAAAGCTTACTTACCAAACCCAGATTGGCCTGCCCTGCATGGCAGGGACACATGGGTCCTTACCTTGGTCCCGCCTTGGTGGAGGGCTGGTTGGCAGAATGCGTTACTTCTGATAACTGACAGCTCTGTAAGGGAGTTGCTGTTCTATCCCATCGTATGGATGAGGAAACTGAGCATCCGAGAGGACCTGTGTTGGTTGGACTCTCCCTGGGGGGAGGTGTGTGAAGCACAGCGGGGAGAGACAGGCCCTGGCAGGGGCACAGGGAGGGCCAGGGGCTGGAGGTGGTGGGGGGCACTCCTCAGGAGCCACAGGGGTGTACAGGCAGCTGGTGTGGAGGAGCGGGCAGCGGAGCTGACCCTGTGTGTGGCGAGGGTGGGGTGAACCACACAGCCCAGTGAGGGGTGGCACTGGTACAATGCCACCTTCTAACCTGTACCCATAGCCTGGGAGAGCGGGGTCTCTCGGAGGAACCAGCCCCAGGCCTGGCTCCAGGGACCAGTTTAGTCCTGAGTCCTCCAGGGACCCACACGGGCACCCCTGGCACCATGGCTGCCTGCCCACCCTGCTCCCATTTGTCCTGTCCCCTTCTTGTCCTGCCTCTGCCAAGCTCCGCTGGTGCCTGCTGCGGGCGGCGCTCAACCATAGGTGGAACAGGACGATGAAGGGATGCCTCTCCCCCGGGGTCCTGGGGTCTGGGCGGGAGCAGGGAGGCCAGAGGGGCTGGAGGGAGGAGAAGACGCCCCAGCCAGTGCTGACCTTGGGGAGGGCAGAGGGCATTGTGGGTGATGGAAGGGGTCATCCTGGTCAGTGGTGGACGGTCCTTGGTCCCTGCTAGCTGTCAACTTCAGCTGGTGCCGTTGGAGGCCAGAGTGGTTCAGGGTGGGCCTGGCAGGGCCTAAGGGGCCAGGAGGTTTGAGGCCCTGGTAACTGTGGGCCTCGCTGTCTGTCTGTCCTGATGCTCTGTGCTGTGGAGCCCAGTGGCCTTGCCTGTGACTAAGCTGGGTGCCCATCTGCCTGCCTGCCCACTGAAGGGTCAGTTGCCTTCCCCAGTCTTTGGTGGAAAAGGGGCCTGCCCAGGCAGTACTGGTGGCTGGTGACACTGAGGGTGGCCTTGGGGAGTGGATACTCTTGGTTGGCAAGTCAGTGCCCCCTGAGCACTGTTAAAGCCATGTGTGTGGCGAGGGTGGTCTGCATGGCAGTGGCTGAGCTCTGGGGACTGTCCTTGCAGCTGGCAGGTCTCAAGGTGCTTGGCAGGGAAGACAGGTGCCTGCCCCCTGGGGAAACCCAGGCTGGCTCCCTGTGGCTGGCCCAGGCACCCCATGACCAGCCCAAGACCAGGCCAAGCTGGCACCACCCTGGCAGGTGGCTTTCCTCACTGGCAGCATCTCCATCTCTGGAGGAGTCCACAGGCCCCGAGAGGGTGAGGGTACACGGAACCAGGTGGCTCCTGGGCGATGTGACTCCAGGTCTCAGGGGCATGCCCGTCTGGCCCGCTGGCCAGCTCTTCCCTGACCACCTGCCCAGCAGTGCACCTGTTGGCTGGGCTTCTGTGCAGGGGCTTCTCACAGCCCCCTGCCAGCCTTGGTGCCTGGGAGTGCCCAGAGCACACTGTTGAGCCCGGCAGCTGCCTGAAGGCTGCCGATGCGCGGCGAGTGCCCCATCCCAGGACGGGTGCAAGATGGGCAGGTGGTGCGGGTGACCTCGGGTGCTAAGATCCCGTGACGGGTTCTGAACGTTTCCCAGATTGGACCTCTGCCCAGAACATTGGGTCTTTCCCTCCACAAGCAAGCAGGAGCCCTCTTGGTGCCAGGGCCTGTGCGGGAGGTGAGAGGAGGGGTGGAGCTAAGGACCTCTGTCCCTCCTCCTGCTAGGCTGTCCCCTGGGACCGGGACACCCCGCACTCTAAAGGCATGAGGCCAAGGGAGAGGGGACGGTGCAGAGGTAGAGGGGGCCGAGTGCCTGGTTGGTGCAGGGCACCTCTGTGCTGCAGGGCGCAGGAGCGGGGGCCTTCCTGGGGGTGGGTGAGGCTGGCCTGCTCCAGTCTCCCCTTGGCCCCAGCAGTGGGCAGACTTGGGCTCGCTCTGGGAGCGTTCCAGGAACAGCTCCTGCCATGATATAAATAGTCTTCTCCCAAGGACTTGGTGCTAGGCCAGCTGAGCAGGTGCCCCCCAGGCCTCCCAGAGGTCCCAGGCCTGGGGCGGGGCCCAAGGTGGGGACAGTATGCCCGCCTTATTTGCAGCAGGAGGGGCGCAGTGGTCGTTGTCCTGGTCCCGGCATTCCAGAACTCACTGGACTTTTCACTAAGAGACCCCTCTCCTGTGAGGAAACGGAAGGGGCGGGCAGCGTGTCCTGTGTGCTCTCTCCCAGAGGGCTGGGGCCAGGAGGAGCAAGGCCTGGGGCCAGCTACCATCCTTCTGCCTCCTGGCTGGGTTACTTGGGCAAGTTGCTCAGCTTCCCTGTGCTGCTGTTTGGTTGATACACTGTGGCCAATGTTGGTACCTTGCTGGTGGGGACAGTGAGTGGGTGGGGGCTGGGGCTATCTTTGGGCAGCAGGTGTGCAGATAGACGGTGGTCAAGGTGGGAGATGGGGGGCAGTGAGTGCTCAGAGCTGGCCCGTCCCCACCTGTGGCTCCCGGGAGGTGCTCTGGTGGTGGTGAGCTGAGGGCATGGTGTGGGAGTCGGACCCCAAGGCCTGCCTGCTGGGCTCAGCGAACTCAGGAGGGGAGCCCTTGCCAGAAGCACTCCCCTGGGACTTCTGAGCTGGCTGGGCTCCTGTGGTCCACCCAGCATGGACAGAGCCATCCCACCCCGACTGCTCGCCCAGGTGGGGGTGGGAGGAGGCCAGAGTGGCAGACATGGCTGATGGGATGTTCTCTGGTGTGTTGTGGGGAATGCCTGGAGGAACTGAGTTCTCTGCTGGCCCCTGGCCAGCCCGCTCTTGTGCTGACTGCTGATTGCAGGGGCCAGGCTGTCTGTCTGGGAGCCAGACGGGGAGCAGGGTTCCCAGCAAGGCAAGGCCCCTGGGGACCCTGTGTGCTGGGGGCTACACGTGCCCTGTTCCAGTGATTTGAGGGCCTCTGGGGGCCAGGACAGGCCTGGTGTTGACCACAATGCTAGGCTCCCCTCTGGTGCCCAGAGTCCCAGGAGCACTTGAGTTCCCGGACACGGTGCTCTTGAGAGGCAAAGCCAGGACATGTTGGTGGGAGCAAGTGGGGGACCCAGGGTAGGGCTTTGGAGGGCTTGTGCCCAGAACCTGGAGATGGGTGGGGCTGGAGACCGCTCCCTGGCTGTCTTCCTACCTGGTGCGACCCTGAGGCGCCCCTAGGATCTGTGCCTGTTTCCTCAGCCATGAGCTGGGGATGATGTTGGTGTGAGAGTAGCCAGCCCACAGGGGGCAGCGGTGTGTGGCACATGGTGGGTGCTGTGCATGGAGAGTCTCTGGGTGTACAGCTTTCCATGTTGGGAGGCCGTCCTCGCAGTGCGCCTGGCCAGCTCCTCTGGACCTTCTAGGAGGGGACCCTGTGCAGCCCTCCCTCCTCTCTGCGCTAGGAGTCCTTGCTGGCTGTGGGGCCGCGGGAACCCCCAAGGTCCCAGAGAGGCGCTGGCGCGCTGCCTTCCCGCACCTGGCCTTCCTCTCGCTGCCTCTCGCTGCCGGCTGGCCCCCTAGTTAGTAGCTGTGGGCCGGGACTGGGGCTATCTTTAGGCAGCAGGTGTGCAGAGCCCGGGAGCCGGGTCGCCGGCCGGTCACCGCCCACCACGTGACGCCGGGCGCTATAAATAGCGAGCCGCTGCTCCGCCTCTGCCCGAGCCGGCGCCGCGCGGGAGGGCACCTCTCGGGTCTGGGCGCAGCACCAAGGCCCTGCGCATGGAGGCGGCGGCTCGCCTGCGGGCGCGGGTGAGCGGAGGGGGCGGGCGGCGGGACCCAGGCCCTCCGATCCTCCCAACCCTCCCTGGCCCTCCAAGACCCCAGCCCCTCCTGGAGGACGCGGTGACCTCGCGTGCCAGATGGGAAAAGCCCCTGGGCGTGCGCCTAGACCCAGTCCCCATCTGCCTTGTCCAAGAGGAGGCCGGGCTCCACAGGCTCAGGCCTCCCACCCTCAGTATCACACAGGGTCCTCGTATGCCCAGGCCCCCAGCAGCCTGATAGATTCAAACTCCTTAAGGCCGTTCTACCTGAATGAAGGAGGTCACTTCCTGAACCTCGGTCTCCTCTGTGCTGGGGTTTAGAGCTTTTGCGTCCTAGGTTTGAGGTTGAGGAAACCCATTTAGCTGGACGCCTGGTCTAGCCAGGGCCGAGAGTATCCTTCCATCTCTCTCTGGCCTCTTAGCTCATCTGGCAAACAAGGACAGAGTGGTTCTGGAAGTAGCAGAGGGCTCAGGGGCACTGCCCAGAGGAGGCCCAGCCGGGGTCCCAGGAAGGGAGGGCCAGAGGGAAGGAGGGCCTTCATGCTCGGCAGGGCTCTCGGGCCTGGGTGTGGGCGTGGTGGGCGTGGTGGCTCAGCCAGCAGAGAGGCTGTGATGGTGGCTGGCACACGGCAGCTTGGGGCATGGGTGGCCTGTGCCTTATAGAGCTGGAACCGGGGTTCAGCCCGTGGCCTGCCCACTGCTGGTCCTGGGGGTCCTGCCTCTATTCAGATCTGGAGTTACTGGCACTGGTGGATGGTAGGTGGCAGTGGCTACCCACGTGGGCCACAGGCCTTGGGTCAGCCCTGCTGGGGGCTGTGCAGGGCTCTGGCAGCCCGTAGCTTCAGATCCCCTTAGCCCTTGCCTCAGACATCACCAAAGGGAGGTACTGGGCGGGGGTGTCCCCCAGGTAGGTCTGAGCCAGCTGTTTGCTCCGGCAGTGGACTGCACCTCACTGCCCTGTGTGTGGAGCTGAGTGGCGTGTGTGGCAAGAAACCAGTCCAGACTGGTCCAGCCTAGACCTAGATCTGTGACCCCATTCTGGCCTGGACTCTGAACCCTGACCCTTGGCCCAGCCCAGTGTAGCCCCTGATCCCTGCAGGCCTGTGACACCTTGAACCCTGGAGTGGTGAGAGGCTCAGGCCCTTCTGCCTGTGCAGTGGTGCTGGCCCAGGGAGCAGGTCTCCCTGTGCTCAGCCCTGTGGGCACTGCGGTTAACCCTCAGGAGAGGCCCCTGGAGTCTGTGGCCTCCTCGGGCCCTGTTCCTCCTCTCCTCTTGTCAACAGGAGTGTGGCTCTGGCACACAGGCGTGTCCCAGGGGCCTGTGTTTGTGTGCAGCGCAGCAGCCGCTCTTCTCCGGGGGCTCAGGGTGGGTGCTTGTTGAGTGGGCGCAAGCTGGGGCCTGGCTGTCTCAACCAGGAAGGGTTCCTCTGCCTTCCCCCTTCTGGGGTTGCCCCTCCCGCAGTTTGGATCCTCCCAGGGCCCTGGTGAGGGCAGGGTGTGAGCACCTGCCTTGAGCCTGGGGCCGTGGGGCCTCCGCCCAGGGGCGGGCAGAGGGGGTGAGGAGTCTGCACCCCTTCTGCACAGCCAGAGTTCCGGACAGTAAGGCTGTGCCCACAGCAGGGGCAGAGTGGCGCTTCTAAGCCCAGGGCCCCAGGCTGGCCTCTTCCTGCACTCAGCCTGAGGGTCGGGAGCCCAGCCTCCCTGGGTGGGCTGGAGAAGGGGAGCTGGGTGGGGGCAGAGGTAAGAAGCAGGCTAAGGTGGACGAGGACTGTGCCCGGCCCTTTCTTGGGCAGAGGCAGAGACTGTGGGCAGACAAGCGTGGTGGGGTGAGGTGGCGAGGTCTGCTGAGCACAGGGCACAGTGGAGGTCTGTGGAGGCTCTGTTTGGATGCTCACTGTGCAGGTGGGAAGCTGAGGCTGAGGCCATTGACAGGCCTGTGGGTGGGGAGGGGGCCAGGTGCCCCTGGGGACCCCTGGCCTGGGTGCTCTGGAGCTTTAGACCCTGAGAGGGAGGGAGGCAGGTGTGGCTGGCCTTGTGTCCTCCGGCAGTGCCCTTCCCCACAGTGACCCATTGTGGCCACCTAGGCTGTCACCACCATGGCAAGACCTGGCACTGGTCCTGGGCCTGCTGTCTGCAGAGCACCTGGAGCAGAGTGGGCTTGTTTACCTCTATGCCTGGCTGCCCCGGCTGTCCGTGGTCCATGGAGTGGAGACCCCATGGGGCAGGAGACCATAGGGGCCTGACAGAGGCCGCTGAGGCAGCTCATGGCCCGTCCTCACTGTGCCCGAGTACCCACTGTGTACCCACAGTTGGCCACTCCAGAATGATCTGTGCTCCGACATCAGGGGCCAGGAATCCCCAAAGAAGACCACGACTGCTCTGGCGTGGGCCGGTCTGCAGGCCCAGGTTGCAGCCTGGGGGCCTGGTCTCTGCTGCCACAGATGGACCCATGAACTGCTTTTTGGGGTTCAGCATACTCCTGGGGCTGTCCTCCCTTCCCCTGTTCCTCTCCACCCTGTCCTGGTGTGGGTGTCCTGTCACCCCAGGCCCTGGGTCAGCCCTGGCAAGAGCTGTCCTTTCTCATGTCCTCACACAGGGAGACTGAGGCCGAGGAGACCCCTCAGTTCCTTCTCTCTCCTCCCCAGACGTTGCCTGCCAAGGCCCAGCTGCGGTGGATGGAGAGGCCCTCGGGGGTCAGCCCTGTGTACTGCCGTGCCCAGCATCTCCACCAGGCCTGCTGCTGAGGAGCCCCTGCTCTGGCCCTCACCGTTGCCCCCGCCTTCCCATGGCCCGTGCTGCCAGGCCTGGGGCCCTCGCTGCCGCCTGAACCCCCTGCCCCCCTCCAGGATCCGCCGTGCCCCGATGGGGTAACGTGACCGAGGCCTCGAACACCAGAAGCCACAGCTGCTGCCTGCCACCCCACCCGGGCTGCTGGAGCTGGTTCAGTTCAAGTTCATTGACCTTTGGTCCTTGGGAGTTTGGGCCACCTTTGAGTGAGCGGGGCTCTTCACCACCCACGGATGCAGAGAGTCCCCGCAGACACTGCCCACAGCCAGACTCACTGTGGGTTTTCACAGTTTGTTTTTTGGTGGTCAATATTTTTGCCCACTTATAATTACCCAGCTCGGAGACTCAGGAGTTTGGAGTTGCCTATTTTACTTTGGGGGGCTGTTTTTATTCCTCTTCTTCATTTTTAAGGGTCAGGTTTTCTTTTTTTTTTAATTATCCAGGTACTGGGCAGCTTCCTCCCTCTCCCAAGTATTTGCACAATATTTGTGCGGGGTGGGTTTTTTGGTTTTTTTTAAAGAAATCCTTTCTTTCTCTCAGATAAGTACAGGGATCTCATCCTACCTTGTTTTGGGGGCTGGTGGGGTTTCTCTGGTGGGTCCCGGCCCTCTACCTGCTCCTGGGGAGGAGGCATGGCGCGTATGAACCGACCCGCCCCCGTGGAGGTGAGCTACAGGAACATGCGCTTCCTCATCACGCACAATCCCACCAACGCCACCCTCAGCACCTTCATCGAGGTGAGTGGGCCTGAGTAGATGGTGGGGGGGTGTCTAGCAGCTTGGCCAGCTACGCTCAGAGGTGTGGACAGGCCAGAGCTGGTGGGATGGACTATGGCTGTCAGCACCCAGCCCTGTCACCCTGTTACAGGACCTGGGAAATGGAGGGGTGTCCTGGTTATCAGGATGAGGGCTCAGGGTGTGAACAGGTCAGTGTGTGAATAGGTTAAGGACACAGTATGTGACCAGGATGAAGGCTCAATGTGTGAACAGGACGAGGGCTTGGTATGTGAATAGGATGAGACAGGGCTCAGTGTGTGAGCAGGATGAGGGCTCAATATGAGAGCAGGATGAGGGCTCAGTATGAGAGCAGGATGAGGGCTCAGGGTGTGAGCAGGATAAGGGTGCAGTGTGAGAGTAGGATGAGGGTTCAGGGTGTGAGAAGGATGAGGGCTCAGGGTGTGAGCAGGATAAGGGTGCAGTGTGAGAGTAGGATGAGGGCTCAGTATGAGAGCAGGATGAGGGCTCAGTATGAGAGCAGGATGAGGGCTCAGGGTGTGAGCAGGATGAGGGCTCAGTATGAGAGCAGGATGAGGGCTCAGGGTG